GGGAAGCGCGGAGCAGGTTCAAATACGGACGGCGGGGGAACATGGCGTCCCCGGCTAAGTCTGGGAGGTGATCGGTCTGTCTTTCGTGTTGAAGATGTGGCGGGTGAAAACACAGCACCTCAGCTTGTCGCCTTCGCCGCAGTCGGTTAGCGAGAGCGCTGTCGTGGAGAGAGAGCGGGGCCGGGGCGCCCGGGGCGGGGTCGTGGATGCGCGGAGGGTCCTGGAAAGCCTCGAACTTGGGGGTGGAGGGCGTGCAGAGTCCTTTTGTTCGCCCCGCCGCTTCCGCAAGACCCTGGTGGGAACCTGCTCTTCCTGTCGCCTTGGGGGCTTCTTAGGGCGGCTGGCAGAACCCAAGCTTCCTCACACTCGCTCTCTTCTCTCTTTCTTAGGGAAAACCAGCCATGAGAACTCCTCTCCGAGAACTTAACATGCAGCCGGGTGCCCTCGCCAGCTCTGGAAAACGGCTCCCTTTGTGCTCCTCGCTGACCCCTTCACTGTGCAGACTGGGGCTGCAGGTAAGATCGGCCTGGACAGCTTCTCAGTTGGGCTGTTTGCCCAGGCCGAGAGCTCAGAGGAACAGAGGGCCAGGGTTGGAACGTAATTAATAACGATAATGAGTCTTCTAGCTTAGTGACATCCATTTACAGCTATTCAGGCCTCAGAGAGATGCCCTAGGGTGGCTTAAAGGGAATCCACTGAGAGCACCAACCTCTATTTAGTTTCTGTTACCTCCTCCCCAGTTCGACCTTTACTAAACTCCTGAGAAATACTATCACTCTGGTAAGTGGGCTCCCTCTAACGTGTACTTAAGGAAAGGTCTGCTGCAGGAGACCATGTCCATCCACTCCAGAAGGTAGTGGAAACTCTCCTGGGATTAAGGTTCAGTAATGTAAGGCCAGGTGGCCAGGACCACCTTAAACTAGCACTTGCAAAATTGCCCTCACAGAATTGTACTTCTGTCAAAGGTTTTGTAAAAGTAGCCACCTTTTCAATTGCTGTAAAAACTTGTCAAAAAAAACCCCAAAAAACTTATCAAGGAAGAAGATTGACCCCTCCATGAAATCTCTTTAAGAAGTTTTTTAGACCTTACTGCCTGGGAAAATTGTCCTCCTAAAAAAATTGCTATCCTTCTTTTTCTAATGGTTTAACATATTTTTCCTCTTTGACTTCTAGAAAGTTTAGGGCCGTAGTTTATGATTGACTACAGGCTGACCAGGCCAGGGACTCAAACCATGGTCATGGACCTGTCTTGAGCAGTGCCCACTACTGCACCATGGAGTTGGCCCTGTGTTCTTTCTTTCTTTCTTAATTTTTTTGGAGAGATTTTTGCTATAAGGTGTGTGTGCTCGCCAGAAAGACAGAGAGAGACAGAGAGACAGAAGGTGAGAAATCACCCCCCAGGGAGGATGGCTACGCCGCAATCCCTTCTTCTCTACTCTCCTCTCGGTATCTTGGGCATGTACGCACATGTGCCCAGTGTGAGTTCAAGCCAGGTCCAGGACTCGAACTGCGGTCCACCACATGTGAGTCCAACAACATAGCCATTACACCAGCTGCTTGTCCCAAGCCCCGTGTTCTTTAAATGATATGCAAACATGCTTAATATTTTATTGAAAGGATCACAATATATAGCCGGTTCTTATTATGTGTGGTAGCTCTGTTCTTTAAAGTTGTTTGAACAATAAATTAGCAAGTACTGAATTACTCCTCTTAGAGGAAATACAGGATTAGGTTCCTGTGAGCCACCAATCGTAACATTTTTGTTGATTAGTAATTACATAATTGTACTCTATGTTTGTTTCTGTTTAAAGATACCTTATTTAATATATATTGTTGATTTGTTAACAATCAGGGTTGGCCCCAAAGGCTAGTGGTTAAGGGATCCTGATCTCACATGGCTGACCGTGATTCTAATCTCGGCCCCCTCAGTGGCTTGAAAACATGTCAAGCACGTGTACATGGGTGTCCAAAATCCCAGCAGGATGGAGAAAGCACCTTCCAGTAAGGCATGGTCATACTGTACTCCCTTTCCTCCATTTCTGTTTCCCATCAGGATTTTGGGCACATACACACACATGCCTGGCATGTTTTTCAAGCTGCTGTGACGAGGGATTGAACTGTTGTCAGCCATGTGGGATCCGACTTCTTTAACCACCAGGCTGTGGGCAGGTCCCCAGCCTGTTTATAAATTTTCTTTTTAAAATTTTTTTTTAAATTATCATTATTTTTTAACTTGCTGTAGGGTACATTTGCTCACCATGGAGAAACAGAGAGAAAGGGGGAAGGTGTTTTTTAACTTGCTGTAGGGTACATTTGCTCACTATGGAGAAACAGAGAGAGGGGGAAGGTGCGAAAGCAAGCTGCCAGATCTGGCACCCGAACTGTGGTCGACCATGTTGGAATCAGGCGCCTTAACCACCACACCACCTGCTGACGCCTTTATTTTTTCTTTATTCGGATAGGCATATATGAGTGCATGTGAGAAAGAGATTAAGAGCAGGAAGGGGCCCCCTCCGCAGAGGCTGGTCATGCTTGATTGCCCCTGCTGCAGTCCTTTAGTGCATTCTGGGCACTAGTGTGTGTGCATGGTGTATTTCGAACTAATTGGACTGGGAATTTGAACCATGTTTGTCACGTGGCTTGCAGCACTGTAGTCCAGCATGTGCTATGTGGCTGGTCTTTTTTGCCCATTTTTAAATTGGGTTTATGTTTTTGTTGTTGAATTGTAGGATTTTTTTTTGTGTGTGTGTGTGTGTGTGTGAGTTTTGCTATAGGGCACATGCAGTCACCAGAGAGAGGGGAAACTGAGAAATCACCCCTTCGGGACATGCTGCAGTCCCTTTCCCTCCACTCATCCTTCAGGATTTTCACTTATACACAGGTGCCCAGTGTGTGCTTAAGCAGGTCCAGAACTCAGGAAGTCCAGATGGCCATGTGGGACCCAGCCACCTTAGCCTCCACAACATCTGCTGGCCCACATGTTCTCTCTTAACTTCGGGTCCCAAATTTTCATATGTTCTAGAAGGGAGGAAAATCTTACGTTAATCCTAGGTTCCGACAGAACTTTCATCTCCACTCACACTCTGTGGACCCCTCCTACCTATTCCCCTAGAGTTAGAGTTAGGAATAGAGATGAGTGGGGTCGCCTTCAAGCTGCCAACTCCCTGTGATGTGGGTAGATAGTCTCAGTCCATTTTTATAGTAGGTTGGTTCAAAATGGCTTAGCAGGTTTTCTTTCTTCATTCTTGGGTCTCTGTAATGAGCAGCAAACATTACTCAAGTTCTTTCTTAAGCAGAGATAATGAGAATGCTCTCCTGTTTTGAATTTGGTCTATATCTTCTAATTATGGGAACTGAATTGACTGCTTTTTTTTCTTTTTTCTTTTTTTAAGCCTTAGAGTGTGTATGCTTGCTGGAGAGCCAGAAAGAGAGACAGACACAGTGAGAGGGGAAGTGAAAAATCACCCCCTGGGGGGATGGCCATGCTTCAATCTCGTCTTTCTCTTCCCAGGATCTTGGGCATGCGCACACATGTGCCTGGCGTGATTTTCAAGCCACCAGGTCCGGGACTCGAACTCGGCCATGTGGGAGTCTGGCAACATTACTGCCATGCCATCTGCTGGCCCCTGAATTGACTGCTTTAGTCAAGTACTCAACTACTTTCCTTTCTTTGGCAGGAAGGCAGCAACAACTCATCTCCACTGGGTTTTGCCAGTGCCAAGAGGACAGACTCTCCTTTAGAACAATTCGGCAATCCCTCGGAGTGGTTAGAAGCTTGTCAGCATGAATTGGATGAGCAGTCCCTAGAACCAATTCCCCAAACCAACTCTACTCCTAAAACATCTGAGGATGCAGTAAGCCCACTGGATGACTATGTGGTTAAAAACATGGTCCTCATTCCTTCTTTGGGGCAGCAGCAAGACATTCCATCTGAAGCCCATTTAGATACCATGGTGGAGACAGACAGCATCTCTCCAGATGAGCCTCTGACACCAGGAGATCTGGTGAGAAGGGAGGTGCCTCTGTGTTTAGAAGACAGCTCTTCAGAAGTCATTGCTGCTGTGCCTGAGAACCCTACTTTTCAGGATTCTCCATCTCATCTCTTGGACTGCCCACTGAGTCCTTGTTCTGAGCAACAGCTAGCTAGCTCCAAGGAGACACTGCGGGACTCTAGGACTGAGGCTGTGCCTGATGAGCTAGTCCCTCCTGAAAGTAATGCCTTGTCTTCTGCTCTGCTCTGTTCCCTTTCTGCTGACATGACAGCAGATTTCCCTGTCAGTCATGCAGACCCAGGAGAAGAAGTCGTAGAGCATAGTGCTATAGAGGAAAGAGAAATGAGCTTTCCCACACTCCCCCAGGAGGTTGAATTGGGAGATCAGGCACCTGTCCCAGGTGCAGAAGACATTCCATCCACATGCCTGATACCAAATCCAGTGGAAATGGAATCCCAGGCTGCTCCAGGCCCAGCAGTAGAAGATGCTGGTCGGGTGCTCAGCTCTGATACAGAGCTTTGGATGTCCCCACTGGCCTGGCTGGAAAAAGGTGTAAACACCTCAGTCATGCTGGAAAATCTCCGTCAAAGTTTATCCCTTCCCTCTGTGCTCCGGGATGCTGCGATTGGCACCACCCCTTTCTCTACCTGCTCAGTGGGGACTTGGTTTACTCCCCCAACACAGCAGGAAAAAAGTGTAGACACATCCCACACAGACCCAGTGGGCACCAAGGGCAGCGCCTCTGAAACAGAACAGCTGCGTGGGTAAGTGCGCAGAAGCTCCGTCACCCCGGACTTCCACTCCTTTCTCTTCCCTTTCTCCTCCTTACGTTCTTCTCTTCCTGCTTCAGTCGTCCTCCAGACCTGACTGCCTTGTCCCGACACGACCTGGAAGATAACCTGCTGAGCTCTCTCGTCATTCTGGAGGTTCTCTCCTGCCAGCTGCGGGACTGGAAGAGCCAGCTGACTGTCCGTCACCTAGAAGCCCAGGACAGTTGTACACAGACTGACATCTCTCCCAGTGGGGTAAGAAGGTTCCTCCCAAAGCTTGGAGGATCCCAGTAGGCTTCTTCCTCAGAAATTAATCTGATTGGGGACCAGCGGTTGGCGTAATGGCTATGTCACTGGACTCCCACGTAGTCAACTGCGGTTCGAGTCCCGGACCCGGTGGCTTAAAACGCACGCCAGGCGCATGTGCATGCGTGCCCAAGATCCCGTGAGGAGAATGGAGGAGAAGGGATTGCGGTGTGACCGTCCCCTCTGGGCGATGATTTCTCGCTTTCTGTCTCTCTGTCTCTCTGTCTTTCTGGTGAGCGCACGCGCCCTATAGCAAAAACCTCCCCCCCCCAAAAAAAAAAAATCAGTCTGGGGCCGGCAGGTGGTATGGTGGTTAAAGGCACTGGACTCCCACATGGCTGACCGTGGTTCAAGTCCTGTACCTGGTGGCTTACTTTCTCACTTTCCCTCTCTCTCTCCATCTGTCTGTCTCTGATCAAACTGGAAAATAATAAAGTTAAATAAATAAATTTAAAAAAAGAGAATCAGTTTCCAGATTATCATCCTCCAAATACACTTTTTACTAATTTTTTGCTTCCCTACTCTGCATTCTCTATGGCCCTTGCCCACTTTACTAAAGATGGGTGTACTTATTACCTGTCCCAAATCTTACATTGTCATGAAATAGCAATCAAAGTAGAATATAAAATATTTGTGTACATGCTGAGATAGCAAATGATTGTAATGATTATATAATACGTCGCTTTTCCATGTGTTCAACAAAATTGGAGAAAGATTAATTATGTCAGTGGATCATTAATTTTTTTTTTTTGGAGAGGTTTTTGCTATAGGGCATGTGTACTTGCCAGAAAGACAGAGAGAGACAGAGAGACAGAAAGCCAGAAATCACCCCCCAGGGGGGATGGCCACGCTGCAATCTCTTCTCCATTCTTCTGTCAGGATCTTGAGAACACACTTACACACACCTGGTGTGAGTTTAAGCCACCGGATCCGGAACTCAAACCACAGTCAACCACATGGGAGTCCAGTGACATAGCCGTTTATGCCAACTGCTGGTCCCAATCATTAAAAATTTTGATGAACATTCACTACACTGTTGACATATACCTCCAAAAGGGTCCCTAGAGTTGGGTAACATGTCCTTCCTTTCATTCCAACTGATCCCCATTATTTATTTTTTAGTTTTTGCCATAGGGCACGTGCACCTGCTAGAGAGAGACAGAGACAGTGAGAGGAGAAAGAGAAAACAGCCCCCCGGGAGTGTGTGTGTGGGGAGGTTCAGGTAGCCATGCCACAATCTCTTCTCCTCCACTCTCCTGGCACTTAGGGCATGTTGGCACATATACCCAGCGTGATTTTAAAGTCAGCAGGTTCAGGACTGGAGACACTGTCCGCCATGTGGGAATCCAGCACCTTAACCATTCGGCTCCTACTGGCCCCTGATTCCCATTATTTATGTGAAGAATATTTCTCGGTGCTTACATCTCTTAGGGTGGAAAATAGCCATGAGTTGTTGCTGAACCATGTCTTATTGTAGAAATTGTAATAAACTACGGATACACAAACTAATAAGGGTACTCACCATTTCTTCAATACGTGAGTACCAATAAAATTTTCCTCGCTATGTTTATGATTTTATTAAAGATTATTTGGACTAGCAGTTGGTATAATGGCTATGTTGCTGGACTCACGTGTAGTTGCCCAAGGTTCAAGTCCCAGACCCAACTTAATCTCATGCCAGGCGTGTGTGCGTGCGTGTCCAAGATCCCGAGAGGAGAATGGAGGAGAAGGGATTGTGGTGTGGCTATCCCCCCTGGGGGGGGGTGATTTCTCGCTTTCTGTCTCTCTGTCTCTCTTGTCTTTCTGTCTTTCTGGCGAGAGCACACGCCCTACAGCAAAAACCTCTTCCAAAAAAAAAAAAAGATGATTATACTGGGGCAGACAGTGGTGCAGTACTCTGCGGGGCTGACCCACATGGGAAGGTTTCTGGTTCATCTCCAGAGAAGCTTTTTCTTTTTTATTTTTTTTAAAGGAGAATTATTTATTTAATTTATTATGATTATTTATTCACATAAGTTTTGCCAGAGAAAGACAGAGAGAGAGAGAGAGGGAGGGAGAGAGAAAGCAAGCCACCAGGTCCAGGATTCGAACTGTGGTCGGCCATGTGGGAATTCCAGCACCTTAACCACCACGCCACCCGCTGGCCCACCTCCAGAGAATTTGATGCCAAGCACACATGTGCCCGTGGTCTGGGCTGATGCTGCTGGGGGTGGACCATGGCATTGGCACCCTGTCAGGAGAGCTTTATCTCTGCCTCTTACTCATAAAATAAATATATTTTTAAAGATTATAATTTGGGCTGGCCCTGGGACCTGGTGGGTTGGGAAGGCCCAATGCTAAGTGACCAACTGGATGATCTGAGTGTCATCCCTGTAGCTTGAGAAGCACATAGACGGGGCCAGCCAGTGGGATCTCCATGTTGCCAACTGTATGGTTCAAGTCCTGGACCCAGTGGCTTAAAAAACATGCTGGACATGTATGCATGTGCCCAAAATCCCAAAAGGAGAAGTGGAGAAAGGATTGCAGCATGCCCATCTCCCACAGGGAGTGCTTTTTCTATTTTCTTTTTTCTCTGCCTGTGTCTCTCTCTGGTCAGCACATTTATCCTCTAATTAAAAAGAGAAAGAGAGAGAGACAGAGACATTCTGGGATTGTGTGCCCCAAATCCCAACAGATTGTGGAAATGGAGAAGAAGGGATTGTGGTATGACTCTGCCTTTCTGAGGACTGAGGGATGTTTTCTCTCTCTCCATCTTCCTGTCTCTCTCTCTGGCAACTGCATGTGCCCTATGGCAAATTTTCTTTTTTGAAATAATTATTTTATTATTTATTTATTTTTAATTTGACCAGACAGTGAAAGAGAGAGAGGAGAGAGAGAGAGAAAGCAAGCCGCCTGGTCCAGGACTTGAACCTGGCACTCGCCAGAAAGACAGAGAGACAGAAAGCAAGAAATCACCCCCCAGGGGGCATGGCCACACTGCAATCCCTTCTCCTCTGTTCTCCTCTCTTGGGATCTTGGGCACCCACACACACGCACCCAGCGTGAGTTTTAAGCCACCGGGTCTGGGATGCTAACCGCAGTCGACTACGTGGTAGTCCAGCGACATAGCCATTACTCTAACTGCCGGGTGCGTGTGTGTGTGTGCCCAAGATCCCGGGAAGAGAATGGAGGAGAAGGGATTGTGGCGTGGCCATCCCCCCTGGGGGGTGACTTCTCGCTTTCTGTCTGTCTGTGTCTGTCTGGCGAGCGCACATGCCATATAGCAAAAAACCTCTCCAAAAAAAAAAAAAGGATTCTCAAAGTAATGAGTTGATCTTTTGCCAGAAATCCAGAAAGCCACAGACTCCTCTCCTGCTAGCTGCTCAGTTTTTCTCGTTTCCTTACTTGTGTATCCTGTTCCTCCTTTTTTACCTTCTTTCCCATCCCTGAATCTGCCTCGTACCCTTTTCCTCTGTAGCTTGCCAGATCCCAATGGAACACACTGGAGCAGAACCGAAGAGGGGAAATGACATCACCTTCAGCCACCCCATCACTGGCCATGTCCTTGCCGCTTGGCTGCCTCCTTCATGCTAATCTCATCACTCGCCTGACTGCCTGGCCCTGGGCAGTATGTGTGCTCTGGCTAGGGCTCATGGGGCACGCCATGCCATGCTGCACAGGGCAGGGGGGGTGATGACTGCTTTGCTGGGGAAGGGGCCGCGGATGCTACGAGATCTGCAGAGGAGGTGACTCTGGCTCCTTCAGAGCAGACTGCTGCAGCGCGGTGACTCAGGGCTGCTCTAGCCATAGCCTTTCCCTGCTGCTGCCTCTCACCAGAGATGAAGACTCCTGCTTTGCTCTGAGGGCTCTGGTCTTCCCAGGGCCTGCTCCCTTCGAGGCCACACTTGTCCACATCACATACTCACATTTTTATTTGACCCAAGATAATGGCCAGACAGTTAAAGAATAAGAAAACTGAAACGACTAATAAGTATGTAGGAAGGTTAACATTCCTGAAAATCAGAGAAATGCAAATTAATATAATGAGATGCCATTTTTTTTTTGACGAAATAGCAGATAAAATAGGGAATGCTGGTAAGCATTGTCCTTTGGTCAGTAGGATATAAATTGGTTCATCCTTTTTTTAAAAAAAATTATTTTATTGAGGACCAGCTATTGGCATAATGGCTATGTCACTGGTCTCCCATGTAGCAGACCATGGTTCAAATCCTGGACCCTGTGACTTACACTCACGCTGGGTGCGTGTGCGTGCGTGCCCAAGATCCTGAGAGGAGAATGGAGGAGAAGGGATTGCGGCGTGACCATCCCCCTCGGAGGGGTGATTTCTCGCTTTCTGTCTCTGTTTCTGTCTGTCTTCCTGGCAAGCGCATGCGCGCCTGGCCGCGAAAAAGAAAACCTCTCAAAAAAAAAAAAAAAAAAGAATTACTGCTCGGGGCTGGCAGGTGGTATGGTGGATAAGGTGCTGGATTCCCACATGGTCGACCACCGTTCAAGACCTGGACCTGGCAGCTTGCTTTCTCGCTTTCCCTTTCTTGCTCTCTGTCTCTGTCTGGTCAAACTGGAAAATAATAATAATAACAAATGAAATAAAATAAATAATTTTTAAAAAAGATTTACTGTGGGGGGTGGGCAGGTAGCATGGTGGTTGAGGTGCTGGACTCTCATATAACTGACTGTGGTTTGAGCTGACTGGTTCGAGTCTTGGACCTGGTGGCTTGATTTCTCACTTTCCCCCTTTCTATTTCTCTCTGGTCAAATTAACATCATAATAATAATGGTAATTAATAAAATAAGATAATTATTTAAAAGAAAAGAATCACTGCTTTAGGTAGTAAAATTATTAGCGATTTCTCTTTTTTATTTTTCTTCATTTTTGCATTTTCCAAAATGTTATAATTATGTGTTATTTTTATAATTGAGAAACAGGTCATTGTATAAAAGGAAATTTTTCTTTTCTTTCAGAAATTTTTTCTATAGGACATATGCACTTGCTGGAGAGACAGAGAGAAGGAAAGAAAGCACTCCCCCAGGGGAGATGGCCATACTACAGTCCCTTACTACCCCATTCTCTTCTCAGTATCTTGGGCATGCATACGCATGCACCCAGCATGGTTTTCTTTTCCCCCCAGAGAGGTTTTTTTTTACTATAGGGCACGTGCGCTCGCCAGACAGATAGAGACATAGAGATAGAAAGCGAGAAATCACCCCCCAGGGGGGATGGCCATGCTGCAATCCCTTCTCCTCCATTCTCCTCTCGGGATCTTGGGCACGCACGCATTTTTGTGAGTTTAAGCCACCAGGTCCGGGACTCGAACTGCAGTTGACTACGTGGGAGTCCAGCAACAAAGCCATTACGCTAACTGCTGGCCCCCTCCCAGCATGTTTTAAGCTGCTGGGTTCAGGACTCAAACTGTAGTTGGCCATGTGGGAGTCCAGTGCCTTAACCACTCTGCCTCCTGCTGGCCCTAAAACAGGAAGTTTTTACTGATGTCTGGATTTCTCTTCCTCACTTGTTGGCTGCATCTACTTGTGAGCCTTGCTCCTGCTTTAATGGGAAAGGCTCCTGTAGCTCACTGGGTGGGAGGAGGATCAGGTGCTCGTGGTGTAAGTTACCTACTCAAAGGGAACAACATTGGGCGCAATGGGGCACGCCTGTAACCCCAGTTACCTGGGAGGTTGAGGCTGGAGGATCATGTGTTCCAGGCCAGCCCGGGCACTATAATGAGATCCTGTGTACACAATAATAACACAAAAAAGGAACAACTCTGTTTCTCTGGCTAGATAACTAAGAAACATCAACATCTTCGGGAGAGCCAAGAGATCGGAAAGGCCCTGCAGCAGGCCAGGAATGTCATGGTAAGTGTTGAATGACCTTATACCATTGCTGGGTCTCCTGTGAACATCGAGAACAGAATATCCAGCGCAGCTGCTGTGGCACAGCAGTAATGCAGGTACCCTGCAAGGCTAGAAGCCAAGTGGCTGACCACAGTTTCAGATCCCCGGGTCAACCCGAAAATGTGTCGGGCGTATACAGACATTGGAGATCCCAAGAAGCTGGAGGACTGAAGAAAGGGGATAGCAGTATGATGAGACCCTGTTGAGGGTCTTTTCTCTGACACACTGTGCATGTGCACTTGCTGTATATCATGAAATAAATAATAAAGGATGGGCCGGCAGGTGGAATGGAGGTTAAGGCAGCTGGGTCCCATATGGTCTACTGCATGATCCGAATCCTGGACCCAGTGGCTTGAAAATCATGCCCGACACATGTACATATGTGCCAAAAATCCCAAGAGGAGAATGAGGGTGAAGGGATTGCTGGGTGGCCATTTCCCCTGGGGGGTGATTTCCCATTTTCCCTCTCCCTCTCTCTTCCTTTCTGTCTCTGGCAAGTGTATGTGCCCTATAGCAAACTTAAAAGAGAGAGCAAAGACTGGAGAACCCGGGTGCTTAGATGGTAGTACTCATCCTTGGTAGTGAAGGGGGGCTTCCAGACCTTCGTCAAGGTCGTCTCATTATTGGGAGATTAGAATTGGGGTCTGTGGCTTTCCTCTCCCGTGCCCTGCTTCCTGCTTAGCGACCATCTGACCTAGCCTAGCCATCTTCCCTTCTTCAGCAATCATGGATGCTAGTCTCAAAAGAGCTGATATCCTTGCTTCACCTATCGCTGTCACACTTAGAAGAAGATAAAACTGCTGTGAGTCAGGAGGTAAGTAGCATGAAGATGGAGGGAGAGGCCCCTGGTGGGCCTGAGAAGCCAATAAAAAGGAACCAGGCACAGCATCTGGTTCTTATCTTGTAGTCTCGGCGTGCAGAGACCTTGGTCTCCTGCTGCTTTGATGTATTGAAGAAATTGAGGGCAAAGCTCCAGAGCCTCAAAGCAGAAAAGGAGGAGGCAAGGCAGAGAGAGGAAATGGCCCTCAGAGGCAAGGAAGCGGTAAGGTCCCTGGATGTGGGAGGCTCCTGCGGAGCCACGAATGCACTTGAGAAACAGACGGGTGGCCTAAGAACTGCCTGCCTTGGGGAATAAAAAGCTGAACTCTTAGGTTGTTGGGTGGTGCAGCTTTTTATGCCGTTTCCATCTGCTGCCCATTATGTCCTTGTAACCTCTTCCCTAACAGGCAGAGATAGTGCTGGAGGCTTTCTGTGCACATGCCAGCCAGCGCATCAGCCTGCTGGAACAGGACCTGGCATCCATGCAGGACTTCAGAGGCCTTTTGAAGGAGACCCAGACCCAACTGGTAATTGAAGGGCAGTTTCTTTCGTGGGGCCCATGCTGACACACTGAGAGAATGGCCACATCCCCCCACCTTGCTGTCTCCAAAGGGAAGTGCCCTCTCCATAGGATTCCTTCTGCTGTAGGTAGGGCTTCATACGGAGCAAGAGGAGCTGGCTCGGCAGACTGTGAGTCTGTCTTCCACCTTGCAGCAGGACTGGAGGTCCCTGCAACTGGACGTGAGTACTGGGGGCCGTCATAACACTCCCTTACTCACAGCTCTGTTAGGAATCTGGCCTCCAGCGTGCTCTTCTGACGTGCTTGCTTCCCCTGACAGTATGTAACGTGGACAGCTTTGCTGAGTCGGTCTCGACAGCTCACAGAGAAACTCACAGCCAAGAGCCGGCAGGCCCTGCAGGAACGTGATGCTGCCGTTGAAGAAAAGCAGCAGGTACAAACAAGGAGGGGGGTTGTTTCCCTCCTTTGCAGAAGGCCTAATATGTGATATCATTTGCTTCTTACTCTGGACCTGTTTTTTTCTTTCCACCCTCTGGGTTTGGAGTCCAGGCACGTTCCTTAGCTGTAAGATGGCCTTGAGCCCAGTTATTTTCTTTGCCCTTCAACATTTCCCTTACTTCAGAACTTTTCTCCTGTTATTTATTTATTTGGTCTGGAACTCAGTGTCACTTAGTGCAGTGTTGTTGCCCGGAAGCAAGAGAAGCTGGACTAAGTCCTGAGATTCTTGATTCAGGAGGAAGTGTAGGAGGAGAACTATCTTTCTTTCTAGGTTTCCAGGGAGATGGAACAAGTCTCTGCCCAGTTAGAGAACTGCAAGAGCCAAATAGGACAACTGGAGTTGGAAAACAGTCGCCTAGCAACAGGTGTGTGGATGTGTGTGTACGTACATACACGTGTGCAAGCAGTGGAGCCCTGCTAAGTTTTAGAGTGTGGCAGTAGCGCAAAGAAGTGCAGTGGAGTATTTGCTTTAGAACAGAGATGTGGGGAGTTTGTGGTCTGATGAGCCATGGCATTATTGGGGTGTTTTGGTCTAGATCTCCGGGCCCAGCTGCAGATTCTGGCCAGCATGGACAGCCAGCTGAAAGAGCTCCAGAGTCAGCATGCTCATTGTGCCCAGGACCTGGCCATGAAGAACGAGCTGCTCTGCCGGCTTACCCAGAACAATGAAGAGCAGGCTGCTCAGTGAGTCCCTAGCAGATTACAGTGGCAGTGGACACCTAGGATACAGGGCTCAATGGGATCTCATGCAAGGTCTCTGGCAGGTGGCACAAGGAAGAGGTGGCACTCAGGCACACACAGGCGGAACTGCAGCAGCAGCAGGCTGTCCTGGCCAAGGAGGTGCAGGACCTGAAGGAGACCCTGGAGGTAAGGACTGTGCTCGGGGCAAGGGAGCTGGTAAAGCTCAGGAGGGTGGCTCTCGCCGGATGGTATTATGGTGATGTTTGAGGTGGACTGGGAAAAGCCTGTCCCCAGAGCTCTAAAATTCCCCAGCTGGACTCGTTTCCTCACCCTCCTTCTCTTGGTCCTTTCTTCCCTTCCTTCTCCTGTCTTTGCAGTTTGCAGACCAAGAGAACCAGGTTGCTCACCTGGAGCTGGGCCAAGTTGAGTGTCAGTTGAAAAGCACACTGGAAGTGCTCCGGGAGCGCAGCCTGCAGTGCGAGAACCTCAAGGACACTGTGGAGAACCTAAAGTAAGATCTCTCCCTTTTTGCGCCTCTTCCCCGTCACTTGTTTTCCCCAGGATCTCTAAGGGAACTGTGACAGTGCTGAGCCTCTTATTTCTCTCTTGAATGCAGCTCTGGGTGGAGTTCTGGGAAAGGTGTTCAGAGAAAGTAACCTGGCCTTTGGCCATCTTCCCCGGTCCTTGTTCCAGGGCTCAGTTGGCCAGCACCATAGCGGAGAACCAGGAACAAGACCTGGAGAAGACACGCCAGCATTCCCAAGAACTCAGGGTGCTGACTGAACAACTGCAGAGCTTGATCCTCTTCCTACGGACAAAACTGAAGGAGAAGGTCAGATCCCGGGGTTCCTTCTCGTCTCTTCAATGGTATCTTTGTTGTTTAAATTCTTTTCCCTAGTACATTACTTTTATTCTATCTCTGTGACCTTCAATAACTTTGTTACCTATAGAACCTCTTCAGCCCATTGCTCAAAACTTCCTTTCCCTGTCTCCTACCTCGCTATTAGGAACCCTTTACTCCAACTACACTACACTCGTCCCATCTCCATTCACACCCACACTCGAGTCTTCCCACATCTGTTCTGTCTTCACACTAGAAATAACCCTTTCTTTTCCTATTAAAATCCTCCCTAGTTTACCTCCTGATTTGAAACGTTCCCAGATCATGTGGACTTCTGCAACTTCACCAACTGACCCTCCTGCACTTGTATTAATTTTCCTTGGATACCTGATCTCATCAACTAGACCATGTTTAAAGGAAGCAGAAATTTTGCTTTGCTTCTTTGGCTTCCCCACAGCACACGCTAAACAATAAACGGTTGATGTCTTCCAGAATACAGAGTTAATTAGCTTATGATCTGGCCCTTCTTCCCAACTCTGTGTGGCTTATGGGAAATGCCATGTCATCCTCAGTCCAGCATAGATGACAGACAGGTGTAAACTCATCATCCTGACTTCTGGCTGTGATGGAGGTCTGGACCTCCACACGGAGAAAGGAGGATCAGTTCTACCTTGAGCATTAGGATGTCTTCTCAGAGCAGGTGACCTTGGGCAGAGTCTTGAGGTTTAGAAGTTCACGGGGCAGGGCGGGTATATAGGAGGGCCCACCTGGCAGGGGGAACAGTATAAGGCAGTCGCACGTGACTACACGTGGTAGTCATATGTAGAGAGTCACACACATACTATACTATGTGTGCTTTTTTTGCGATGTCTATTTTGAAGTAAGACACGCATTAGGTGCCAGGACTGCGGGATGAACGAGGCAGACCCCACTCGGATGGAATGTGGCAGGTTTGGGGAATGGGAGGTAACTCTTCGTGATTGGAGTGCAGGAGCTATAAGGGGCAAGGCAAGAGCCCAGGCTGGAGAAGGAGGCAGGAGGCCAGATTTCAAAGGCTTGAACTAACAGTAGTTTAAAGGGGCTACAGAGGAGGGGATGGACTTAGTGGATTCACAGACATCCAGGACATAGAGTTCATAGGTCCTGGTAACTTAGGCGTAAGGCAGAAGAGTGAACGATGATCCTTAGATTACTAGAAAGATGGTAACACTCTTCCCTAGAACTGATGTCAGCACATTTGCCCTATAAAGAGCTGTCCGAAGACTCTTTTTGGTTTTGTAGGCCATATTGCCCTCTGCCTCAACTACTTAGCTCTGCTTCTATGGCTTAAGAGCAACTGTAGACAGCATATAAGTGAATGTACGACTGTGTTCCAGCAAAGCATTTCTTATGGAGACAGTTTGTAGGCTAGATTTGATGTGTTGCCCTACCCCCAAGTCTAGAATAGTAAATACAGAAGAAGTAGGAACACATTTTTAAGGGGATAGAATAGGGAACTCAGCTTTATACGTTACTATGTTTCGGGTGGACTATGAGACATTCTGGTTGACTTTTCACAGGCAGTTAACTTTTGGGTCTGAAAGCTGTCAAAAATATCCAGTTGACAGAGAGATTTAAGAGTCAGTCATAGGGAAGTAGAAGATTTTTTAAAAATTATTTTATTTAACTTTGTTTATTTAGTTATTTAAATTTGACCAGAGAGGGAGAGGGGGAGAGAGAGAGAGAGAAAGCAAGCCACCAAGTCCAGGACTCGAACCACAGTACATATGGGAGTCTAGTGCCTTTAACCATCACACCACCTGCTGGCCCCTAATTTTTTTTTTTATAAGCCACAAGATGCATGTGCTCATGCATCAGAGAGAGGGAGAGACAGAGGAGAGAGAGAGAGAGCACTCCCCAGTGGAGTGTGGTCATGCCGCAATTCCTTCTCCATTTCTCCATCTTTTAGGGGCATGCATGCACATGTGTGTGGCATGTTTTTCATGCCACCAAAGATTCAAATAGTATAGTCAGCCATGTGGGATCTGGCTCCCTTAACCACTAGGTCATGAGACCAACCTAAAAGTGGGATTTTTTTTTTTTTCTGAGTGGTTTTTGCTATAGGGCATGTGCGCTCACCAGAAAGACAGAGAGAGACAGAGAGACAGAAAGCGACAAATCACCCCCCAGGGGGGATGGCCACGTCGCAATCCCTTCTCCTCTATTCTCCTCTTGGGATCTTGGGCACGCACGCACATGTTTCCAGCGTGAGTTCTAAGCCACCAGGTCTGGGACGCAAACCGCGGTTGACTACATGGGAGTCCAGCAACATAGCCATTATGCTAACTGCTGGTCCCTAAAAGCGGAATTTTGAAATGGAGGGTTTTGTGGAACCACCTGGGGAATGGATTAGAGTGAAAAGAGGACCAAGGACTGAACCCTGAGGAGTCCAGCAGTTAAGGAAGGACCTGTGGGGAAAGAGAATAGCTAGAAAAGTATGAGGCCTACCTGTGAAAGAGTCATCTCCCAGAAGCTAAGAAAAACAATTTCTATAGGTCTGAACAGTGGCAAAGTGGTAAACATGACACTCTGTGAGGCTGACCTACATGGAAAGGTTCCAGGTTCTCTTCCAGAGACTTCCCTGAGTGTGCTAGGCATGCGCATACCCGAGATCTGGAGTTAGCGAGGACTGGAGTGGATCATCGTGTCAAGAACCTGTTGTGAATGCTGCCTTTGTTTCTCATGCTGCATGGAGGAAATAAATAACTAAAACTTTAAAAAAGTCAAAATAGGGCCAGCATGTGGCATGGAGGCTAAGGCACTGGATCCCATATGGCCAACGCACAGTTCAAGTCCCAGACCTGGTGGCTTGGAAATCAAGCTGGCATGTGTGCATGTGTGTCCAGGCTCCTGAGAAGAGACTGGAGGAGAAGGGATTATGGTGTTGCCATACCTCCTGGCAATGATTTCTCACTTCCTCTCTCTCTTTCTCACTGTCTCTCTGGTGAGCACATGTGCCCTATAGCAAAACTTGAAAAAAAATAAAAATAAAAGAACATCATGGTCATCAGTGTCAAACAGTTCATGTGAAATGAGAGCTGAAAAGTGTCCATTGCTTTTGAAAGTAAGGATGCCATTGATAAAACAAATGATGAAAGTTTTGGTGGAACGGCAGGGCAGAAGCTTAGCTGAGGGTGGTCAACAGATGGTGAGAATTAAATGCAAGAAATACAGAATTTTTTCCTCTTTTAATTAAAGAGAAAGAGAAAAGACAATAGCCAAAAAGGATTTAAGATAAAGTTTTTTGTTTCAGTTTGGTTAATAATGAAAATTATTATTCTTTGAGTGGGAGAGACTTAAGACTATACACATGTTCAGGCCAGTGGCATGGTGGTTAAGGTGGCTGGATCCCACATGGCTGACTGTGTGGGTGCATGTGTGTGAGTGCCTAAAATCCCAACAGGACAATGGAGGAGAATCCTGGCAATGATTTCTCACTTCCTCTCTCTCTTTCTCACTGTCTCTCTGGTGAGCACATGTGCCCTATAGCAAAACTTGAAAAAAAATAAAAATAAAAGAACATCATGGTCATCAGTGTCAAACAGTTCATGTGAAATGAGAGCTGAAAAGTGTCCATTGCTTTTGAAAGTAAGGATGCCATTGATAAAACAAATGATGAAAGTTTTGGTGGAACGGCAGGGCAGAAGCTTAGCTGAGGGTGGTCAACAGATGGTGAGAATTAAATGCAAGAAATACAGAATTTTTTCCTCTTTTAATTAAAGAGAAAGAGAAAAGACAATAGCCAAAAAGGATTTAAGATAAAGTTTTTTGTTTCAGTTTGGTTAATAATGAAAATTATTATTCTTTGAGTGGGAGAGACTTAAGACTATACACATGTTCAGGCCAGTGGCATGGTGGTTAAGGTGGCTGGATCCCACATGGCTGACTGTGTGGGTGCATGTGTGTGAGTGCCTAAAATCCCAACAGGACAATGGAGGAGAAGGGATTGTAGCATGGCCATCTCCCTGGGAAGTGCTCACCTTCTCTTTCTCCCTCACTCTCCTGTGAGCGCACACGCCCTCTTGCAAACTAAAAATATAAACAAACATGTTCAGGGAAGGGTGATTCAGTTCTGGAGGAAGACAGACTAGCAAGGTAGTAGGTAATAGCATTCTAGGGGACATCGCTGGGAGTTCCTGGGGGCTCAGGAAATCATCAGCCTGAACAGCGGCTGATATTTTTTCCCCTCTGTCCTTAGGCTGAACCAGAGACCCTTCTGCGGAACACAGCTTCTACACCCGCCCAGAAACAGCCTCTGCCCAATGACAGCATCCCCTTGGAAAGCATCTTGACAATAGTGACAGACGAAGGTTAAAGACCTTGGAATTTGGGGGTGGGAAAGTCGTGACCCTGCTCCTGATATCATCAGCTGTTGAAGATGCCCTCCATCGGATCTGTCCCTTCTCCCTGGCTTCCATTAGCAGACCCTTGACTGCATCACCAGAGGGGACCTCACCTACGGTTATTTGTGTTTTAGAGCCAGAATCAACTCCTGTGCCCTTGCTTGGAAGTGACAAGAGTGCTTTCACCCGAGTAGCTTCCCTTCAGCCTACAGGTTAGGACGGGCTCCAGGGATCCTGCCTCATTTCTAGAAAGTTTGGTGGTGATGAGTAAAGACAAAAGCAGTGAAAAGTGCTTTGCTCTAAAAACCTCAATTCTACTTGGGCTCATTTTATTTCTGCCTTTTGGGATCTGTAATGTTCCGGACATTCAAATCCTATGGGTGGGGAACACGGTTAAGAGTTGTGGAAATGCTGGCTGATCCACATCTTCCTCCAGGGCTGAAAGGCTGTGCCTCCATCTTGGACTTTCTCTTTCAGAGACCCTGGGCATGGAGAAGAGACTTGCAGAAATGAGTTCGATGGCTCTTGAGCTGCAGAGCTTGTGTTCTCTGCTGCAGGAGTCTAAAGAAGACGCCATCAGGACTCTCCAGAGAAAAATGTGAGTGGGACGGAGTGTTGGTGACAGAGAGACAACGAGGCAACCACATATGCCAAGGGCGCAGCCAGCCCCCGAGAGGACAGGATGGTAGGAATGATGCCAGATTCTTTCCTCCTCTAGTTGTGAGCTGCAAGCTAGGCTGCAGGCCCAGGAAGAAAAGCATGAGGAAGCCCAGAAGGCCAAGGAGGCAGACATAGAGAAGCTGAACCAGGCCTTGTGCTTGCGCTACAAGGTGAAGGAGGGGCCTAGAAGTGGGGCAATGAAGAACTGGGGCAGCTCTGCTGGCCCATTGGGAGCCATTGTCTCTCCAGGAATCTGGGTGGTGGGGATTTTCCAACCACTGCCCTAGTTTGGCCCTTCCTGGGGTCAGACATTTCACATAATTGGGAATCAACTATGGGCTGACCTGTCTCCCCAGACAGACCCAGGAGAGAAGTCAAGAACTCTCCCAGCGTGACCCTGGAAGAGGAACTGGAGTGGTAGCAGCTGGTCCCCGCCCCAGGCTGAGCACTGTCCTATCTCCTGGCAAAAGTTGTGAAGAAACGAGCTCTCCTCAGTACCTTTTCATGTCCCTTTTCCTCACAGAATGAAAAGGAGCTCCAGGAAGTGATACAGCAACAGAATGAGAAGATCCTAGAGCAGATAGACAAGAGTGGCGAGCTCATAGTATGTTCCTCACGCTGCCTGGGCCTCTGCCTTCTGCCGCTATAGCCAGGACCCCACACATGATCACTGGATGCCCTGGTTGAGCTTTGTTCACCACAGGGGCTAAGGAGGACAGAAAGGCCCTGTGAGGGCTATTGCATATCTCTTCATTCTCATTCCCAGAGCCTTCGAGAGGAGGTGACCCAGCTCACCCGCTCACTTCGGCGAGCGGAAACAGAGACTAAAGTGCTGCAGGAGACTCTTGCAGGCCAGCTGGACCCCAGCTGTCAGCCCATGGCCACTAACTGGATCCAAGAGAAAGTGTGGCTCTCCCAGGAGGTAACTGAGTTAGTTAGCAGAGGAGCTGGGCAGCTGGTGGGGGCCCCAGGCTGTACCCCTAATGATCCCGACTTACCTACAGGTGGACAAGCTGAGGGTGATGTTCCTTGAGATGAAAAATGAGAAGGCAAAGCTCATGGTCAAGTTCCAGAGCCATGTAAGAGTGTCCATGCTCTTCCAGGCCACTTCTTCCTGCCATTTGCAAGGACCCTAGCATGTTTTCCTGTCCCTACCAAGCTGGGCTGTTCTTTCAAGCACAGGACTTAAGAAATCTATTTTGCTTTCCAGAGAAACATCCTGGAGGAGAACCTTCGGCGCTCTGACAAGGAGTTGCAGAAACTAGATGACATTGTTCAGCATATTTATAAGGTAAAGAGGGACTAAGGCACCTGGTGCAGGGCCTGGCCTGGGAGGCACCGTGAGCATAACTCTGGTTCCCAGCCTGTGCTGTGAACTGGGCCTGACTCCCTACTGTGGGCTTCTCTGTGGCTTCTAGTTTCCCCCTTCTCGGACTCACTGGGTGCTTCCTGGGGCTGAGAGCCTTTGGGCCTTAGGTCCTGAGCCGCTTTTTCCACTTCTCTCTGCAGACTCTACTGTCCATCCCAGAGGTGGTGAGAGATTGCAAGGAGCTGCAGGGATTGCTGGAATTTCTGAGCTAAGAAATGGAAAGCTGGAGTCTGCTTCATCCCTTTTTACCTGCTTATCCGGACCAATGGCACAGGGCCAACTGTGTGTAATGCTATTTAAATAAAGTGTATTTAATGTAGTTCTTTAAGCTCTCTTGTCTTATTTTCTGGGTGGGAGGGGGCAGATGAAGTCAGGGAAGAGGCAGCCTGGCCCTCTGACCTGGGCACGGCCACACATCCCGCTCCACCTCCTGCTGCACCCAGAGCCAAGGCTGTCTGCCCTTCCTCCCTTGCCTTGCTTCCCCCAAAGACTCCGGGCACTGGACTGCTTGTTCCCTGGCTCATCGCCTAGGGGGAACAGAAAAGATTTCTTTCTCTTACTTTTCCCATCCTCCTCATGGGTAGGCCATGGTAAATACGGCGGTGAGGACAGAGAATCTCAGTTCATTATTCCTTGCCCTGAACTTGGCATCCTGTCGGTACCTCTGTCCTACCCACCCCACCTGTTGTGACTGTCTAGGTTATTCTCTTCCCTAGACCCGCTTAATCCCCAGCATCCTGCATGTAGTGCCTGGCACATGGTAAAGGCGATGGTGGCAGAAATGAAGGCCAGGCCATTTCTTGCTCTAGGGCCCTGGCGGCAGGGGTCCGCCGTGTGTGTGTGTGTGTGTGTGTGTGTGTGTGTGTGTGTGTCGCAGGCCGGGGGTTGGGGGTCGCAGTCCAGAACAGCCCCAGAGGTCTTGGCAGGAGAGTCACTCCACCTCACCGCCCCGCCTCTGTGGGCGTGGCCTCGTCCTGCCACCAGTCCCGATGAGGGGGCGGCGCCACGGTGGGCGGGGCCGGCCCCGCCCCCCTGGGGGAGTCACGTAGCTCTGCGGCATCCGCATCCTCATTTACCCGAGCCAGGAGCCAGTACCGCGACTGCAGCTGTTGCTCCTCTGGACCAGAGCTGTGCCTGCGGCTGCTGCTATTGACTGGCTGCACACAGGTAAGGGCCCTAGCCAGAAGGGAGGTGCCCGGCATCTCGGCTGCCTCTCCTGGCTCTTCCCCTGCCATCCTGCCCTGCTCCCTGGGACCCCTCAGTGGCCCTGTTCAGTGCTCTAACACTCGCTCTGCTTTCTGTCTGCTCGGAAACCCCTGGCTCAGCCTCTCCCATTCCACCCATTCCCCTTCGCTCTCCTGACTGGAACTCAGCTTTTCCCATCCGAAATCACTGTGTACCCCCTAGATTTTTTCCCTGGGTTCAGCTTCTCCCACCCACACCATTTTAATCTGATTTTAATTCCTTTCTTCCTGGGCTACTTTCCCTCTCCAGTTCTCTGGCCTTCTCAGTCCCCTGGCCTAGGTCCCTCCCCCATGGCTTAGCCTGCTTGGCCTTTCTCCTGCAGCTTTCCCCGGCTCTCCACTCATCCCTCCAACCTTAATTCATTGCCCCCACCTCCCCTCTGGGTTCTGAGTTGTAGGGAATTGAAATGCTCCCCACTTCCCATCCACCCTCCAGACAAGCGAGTGCCTCTGGCAGTGGAGATGACCTGGCTGTGACACCGCCCCAGTCCTCACATACTGGCTTAGGTGACCTACTGGCCGTCTTTCCTATAACAGCTTGCAGCTCCGCTGGGGAGCAGGCTATAGATGTGGGCGGTCAGGTTTGGAGTATGGAAAGAGACTAGGAAGCAGTGACTGTTATCTGTATCACTCCTACTCCCTGCCTGTCCCCTCTCCCAAGCGTTTCCTCTAGTAGCTAAGGGGAGTGGAAGGGGCACAGGCCATAGGTACTTTTGCCTCGTTCTGAAGCCTTGAGAGTCAGTGTACTTTCCCTTAAGGGCCCTGTTGGGAATGAGAAAAGGGAAGCTGGAAAGACTGGGGCTTATTCGGGGAACCAGCAGTTAGCGTAATGACTATGTTGCTGGACTCCCATGTAGTCAATCGCGGTTCGTGTCCCGGACCCGGTGGCTTAAAACTCACTCCAGGTGCGTGTGTGTGCGTGCCCAAGATCCCGAGAGGAGAACAGAGGAGAAGGGACTGCGGCGTGGCCATCCCCCCTGGTGGGTGATTTCTCACTTTCTGTCTCTCTGTCTCTCTCTTGTCTGTCTGGCGAGCCCACGCGCCCTATAGCAAAAACCTCTCCAAAAAAAAAAAAAAAAAGACTGGGGCTTATTCCCATCTCAAGAAGGGGCCAAATTCAGTGAAAGAAGGACTGGCATTCCCAATCGGGCAGCAGTTTCATGAGGACCTGTAGCTTCAGGGCTGTTCACTTCCCCACCCCCACTGTGCATCTTGCCCCAGGGCTGGGAAGGGTGCCCACCAGGGACAAAAGGAAATGTGGGAACTGGGGCCCTAAGCCTACTAGCAGTCAGAGGGATTGGTGCCACTCTGATGCCCAGGATCCCTGCCAAGGACTGCTGCCCTGTTCCCAGCCCCATGCTTGGAGGCAGTGCGGGGGGATAGGAGAGAAGGCCATTTGGCCCATCAGGCCAGAAGAGGAAGCAGAGGAAGCAGTGGGTGGGGTTCAGCTTTTTTTTTTTTTTTTTAAGAATTATTTATTTAATTTTATTTATCATTATTATTTATTTTTAGAATTATTTTAAATTTTATTAGTTTTTAATTTGCTACAGGGCACGTGTGCTCACCAGAGAGGGACAGAGACAGACACAGAGAGAGAAGGAACAAGAGAAAGTGAGAAAGCAAGATCCAGGCATGGGACTTGAACTGTAGTTGGCTGTGTGGGAGTCCAGTGCCTTAGCCACCATGCCACCTGCTGGCCCATTATTATTATTAATTTTTAACCAGAGAGAGAAAAACAGAGAGAGCAGGAAAGTGAGAAGGCAAGCTACCAGGTCTGGGACTTGAACCATGGTTGGCCATGTGGGAATCCTAACCACCATGCCACCTGCCGGCCCCAGGGGTCCAGCTTTTATGTCTTGTCTCCATTCCAGAGAGCTGTCACCATGCCCCACTCATACCCAGCCCTTTCTGCTGAGCAGAAGAAGGAGTTAAATGACATTGCCCTCCGGATCGTGGCCCCGGGCAAAGGCATTCTGGCTGCAGATGAGTCTGTAGGTAGGTGGAGCCTGTGCCAGATGGGGTAGAGGTGACCAGGGAGCCCTGGAATGGCCTTGCTGCCCTTCTTGTTTGCCTCTAGGCAGCATGGCCAAGCGGCTGAGCCAAATAGGGGTGGAGAACACGGAGGAGAACCGCCGGCTGTACCGCCAGGTGCTATTCAGTGCTGACGACCGTGTGAAGAAGTGCATCGGAGGGGTCATCTTCTTCCACGAGACACTCTACCAGAAAGATGATAATGGTGTCCCGTTTGTTCGTACCATCCAAGACAAAGGCATTGTCGTGGGCATTAAGGTGCAGTCTCTGGCCCTGAACAGGGGCCGGGAATGGAAATTGGTGTTTGTGGGAGTGGCAAGGGGAGTCCTGCCTGGGTTCAGCACTCTGTCTGTTTAACCCCTGTAGGTTGATAAGGGTGTAGTGCCTCTAGCTGGGACTGATGGAGAAACCACCACTCAAGGTACAGGGCAAGTGGGCTTCAGGGCCATAGAGATGCCCTTTTGATGCTTGCAAAAGGGGTAGGGTGATGAGAATGGCACTATGCTTGCAGGGCTGGATGGGCTCTCGGAACGCTGTGCCCAGTATAAGAAGGATGGTGCCGACTTTGCCAAGTGGCGCTGCGTGCTGAAAATCAGTGAGCGTACACCCTCAGCACTTGCCATTCTGGAGAATGCCAACGTGCTGGCCCGCTATGCCAGCATCTGCCAGCAGGTTTGTGTGTCAGGGAGGGGGTCACAGAGGTGTCCTATGTCCAGTAAAGAGTTACAGGACTTTCTCCCATCCCACCTGCTGCCCCTCCCAAGCTACTCTGTTCTTGCCTGCAGAATGGCATTGTGCCTATTGTGGAGCCTGAGATCCTGCCTGATGGAGATCATGACCTCAAACGCTGCCAGTATGTTACAGAGAAGGTGAGTCCACACATGGGCACAGATATGTGCCATATGGACAGCCTGGCAGGGCTGCCAGTTCCCCATAGTCCCTGGCTAAGATCCAGGCACACCTTCTCCCAGCACTCGCATTCGATTGCAGAATAGACCTGTGGGTTGGGGCCTCTACTGAACCCTCAAGGCTGTGCCCACCCACCGCTAGACAGGGAACGTAGAGCAGTCAGTGCTGAGGACCCAGACCCTTAGCAGACCTCCTCTGATCTCCAGGTCCTGGCTGCTGTGTACAAAGCCCTGAGTGACCATCATGTGTACTTGGAGGGGACCTTGCTCAAACCCAACATGGTGACCCCTGGCCATGCCTGTCCCATCAAGTATAGCCCAGAGGAAATTGCCATGGCAACTGTCACAGCCCTGCGTCGCACTGTGCCCCCAGCTGTCCCAGGTACACCCCTGCTCCCAAACCTGTTTCTGTTCCCTGAAGACCCATTTTCAGGTTCTTCCTGTGGCCTTCAGAGGTCTCTTATCTTGGAAAAATAGGGAGTGACCAATCAGTTTGTCTTCTCTTTTCCACCATAGGAGTGACCTTCTTGTCTGGAGGTCAGAGTGAAGAGGAGGCATCACTCAACCTCAATGCCATCAACCGCTGCCCCCTTGCCCGGCCCTGGGCCCTCACCTTCTCCTATGGGCGTGCCCTGCAGGCCTCTGCGCTCAATGCCTGGCGAGGGCAACGGGACAACGCTGGGGCTGCCACTGAGGAGTTTATCAAGCGGGCTGAGGTTGGGAGCTAGAAGTGGTGTTGGGTGGGTGAAGGGTGTGTGTATCTGGGTAGGGAGCAGCACCCAGAGGCTACAGCCTGGGCAGGGTTTGGCACCTGTGGGCTGCTTACTTAAACCCCATCTTTCCTTCTGCAGGTGAATGGGCTTGCAGCCCAGGGGAAGTATGAAGGTAGTGGAGAAGATGGTGGAGCAGCTGCACAGTCTCTCTACATTGCCAACCACGCCTACTGAGTCCCCACCGCACACCACAGCCCGTGGGCCAGCCGCGTGCGCCTACTCTTGTCTGTAGTCAGCCAGGGCTAACGAGCAATGCAGAACAGAGATGCCTTCATTCAGCACCAAGCCTTCTTCCTCTTCTCTTCACCCTTCCCCCTCTCATTGCTGTACCGGGACCATAGGATGGGAGGATAGGGAGCCCTTTGTGATTGAGGGCAGAAGAACTTGCTAGAAGTCAGAATAGGATGCCTGGGTCTCCCCTGCTTTTGCCAGCCCCAACAATTTCCCCATGATGGGAAGCTTTTCCTTGGGATCATCTTGCTTGCCCTCTCTCCTAGACTCAGAGGGTAGTACACTCATGCCTTGAGTACATACAACATAGCAAATAAATGACAGCAAAACATGCTATTTGTCTGTTTTACACATCACATTCCTACCTTCCAGTTTCTGATCTCTGCTGATTCCATCTCTGGCTCCTCTGACTGTGAAGGTGGAAGGGTGGGACTTGAGCTTTACTGGCCTTCAAGTTTGTGGCGTAGGGGCACACCCAGTCACCATCCCCATCTCAGGCTCTTGCTTGTCCATGTCCAAGGCTGGTGAGGCAGTGAGGAGGGCTGCAAGTCTTTCAAGAACTGCTACCTAAGAGGCACCAGGCGGCAGGCACAGAAGGATGGAGAGACAAAACTGAGTAACTCCCAAAGGTCTTTTGTGCAAGACCCACAGGAGGAGGCTGCAGGACAAGCTGGGATGAGTGTGGGCAGTCTCTCACATCTGGGTGGTGGTGATACCTGCTAGGACCTGATACATTCTGCTAGGGGAGGCCATAGCTGGAGAAGCACCTGCTTCTGCCCAACAAAGGAAACTTCTAAGGCTCTGGTTTCTGAGCAGGGTATTCTGGAAGTCGCCAAGGGCTATATGGCCCGCTCCCATCTGGGATAGAAGGGAACACAGAGAGGAACAATTTGACAGTCTGGGGAAGGGCAGACCTAGTGAGGCCTCATGCTGAACTTTGACCACTTAGCTGGGATGTGAGGTTGGCTGACAACTTCGGTCTATCCGAGCAGATTAAAAGATGAGAGAACCGGGATCAGCAGTTAGTGTAGTGGCCATGTCGCTGGACTCCCATGTTGTTGACCATGGTTCAAGTCCCGGACCCGGTGACTTAAACTCACACCGGGTGCGTGTGCATGCGTGCCCCAGATCCCGAGAAGAGAATAGAGAAGGGATTGCAGCGTGACCATCCCCCCCTAGGGGGTGATTTCTCGCTTTCCGTCTCTCTGTCTCTGTCTTACTGGTGAGCGAACACACCCTATGACCCTATGACAAAAACCTCTCCCCCCAAAAAACTGAGAGAACCAACTGGGTGTGTTAGGTGTGAACTAGAGAAGCCACCAACGCTCCACCTGGTGTGACCTGACCCTGGAATAACAAAAATAGCTAATACTTACCAGCACTTCTCATGTGCTACTGTCAGGCCCTGTTTTAACTACATTTTGTGTATTCACTCATTTAATATAACTATACATTAACTACTATTATGATTATTTTAAGGTTTTTGTGATAGGGTGCATGTGCTCATCGGAGAGAGAGAGATAGTGAGAGGGAAAGTGAGAAATCACCTCTCCAGGAGAAATGGCCGCACCACAATCCCTTCTCCTCTATTCTCCTCTCAGGATTTTGGGCATGTGTGCACACACATCTGGCATGATTTTCAAGTCACTGGGTCCAGGACTGGAACCTTGCCACCTGCTGGCTCAGTAGGTATTATTATTATTATCCCTAGTTTAATATGAGGAAACGGGTACAGAGAACCACAGAGAGATCTTCCCAAGATTGCTGAGGTAATGAATGGTGAAACCAGGATTTGAAGCTGAGTGATCAAAATCCAGATCTGTACTCATGAATTGTCAAAATTGAAGAAAAAAGTCTGTTATTTATTCCATGAACAAGGGAGAGACAGCACGCCTCAGAGGCCCTAACGCTGCAATCCGCCCCCAGCCTCACCCAGTTGCCAACATGGGCCTATCAGGTAGGTCTCCAGAACTGAATTGGGTACCTTTCCATTTCAAATAAAATTTAAAATACAGAGAGAGCCAATTATGTTAATAAAAAAGAAGTTGCTAGCTTGCCATCTCCCTGTGTGAGACCTAAGAGGGCATCCAAAGAGGAGCTCAACGATAGTGATGATAAACGGGTCGCGATAATTGACCTTGAAGGGCTTTCGGTGTGCCAGGCTCTTTACACAAATGACCTCATTTAAGTATCTCCATTTTTCAGATAAGAAAACTGAACCTCAGAGCGCCCGAGGTGGCCCAGCTAATATTTAAGGACTGCAGAGCTTGCGCTCTTAACCTCTGGGGCTAGAAGTGTGGTCTACAGGGAAGTGGGGGACTAACCCAGAGCCATCCAGCAGCCCCGAAACCCGCATGGCCAGCGTCTCACCCTTCTGTGCTCGGGTGTCCGCAGCTTTCAAACTCCCAGGGAAGCTCCACGCGGGCCCCGCCCACTCCTAGACCGCTTTCTCCCGCCTTTGCATCTGGATTGGCCGCAATTGCGGTGGTGGCTCCTCCTTCTCCTTGCGAGGTTTTCGATTGGAGGAAACTTAGACAGCTCCGCCCCCCGGCGGCCGGAGCAGCCGGAAGCGAGCATGGCGGCTGCCGGGGCGGCTGCTACTGGTACACGTGCGCTGGGCCTCCGGGGGG